TTTTGCCAAGACTAGGAATTTACCAAGCCAGCGGTGTCCCAGAAATCTAGAAGTATATTCCTTTAGCAGCTTTCAGCGCCCTTGTTACACGGGGAATAGGATAATATTAGGTATACAACCCACAATTCAATTCTGATTAACCAGGTTGAAAAAGAAAATGTAATAAATAACTTTTAAGTAGTAAAAACTACACCATGAAAGTAACTTTTGGAAGGAAGGAAAATGACATTCTCAATAAGAAAAAATTAATTCATAATGTGAAAACATCCCAGGACCATCAGGAAAAAGCGGTGAATAATAGCCCCAGTTTAGAAAGAGGCAATAATTACTGAATACATTGTCAGAGAAAACAAATAAGGTACGTTTTTAAATCCCACAGCTAACACAAAGCATGTGAGAAAATTCTATTGGTTTTTGACTAATATAAAAGAAAAATGAGAATAAGTAGCTTAAAAAAGATCAACCAGAATTTCCTATATTTGGTGGCTTGTTATTCTAAAAAGTGCTTAGTTGATAATACTATGCTTTCAATTGAGCCTCTATGAATTAACCATCAAGCTTCTCAATTAACTTCCATAGTAGAGACTTTGAAATGAAAGTTAATAATACCCAGTCTGACAATAGACTGTTTCTTCTATTTGCTGATCCTGGCTATTGGCCCTAAGCACTCCACATTTTCTTCTAATTACACAATAAAATCTTTTAGATTTTAAAATAAACACAACAAAAACAAAATACATGTACATACATACACTATGTAGGAAAAAAACTGAGTGAACTCAAATGGTATAGGAAATAAAAGCCACTGTTTTCTCCATTTCTCCCAGTAACAGTGCTACTGAAGCAGAATCAGGTTAACCATAAAATACAAACAATTTATAGAAATATAATAAAAAACACATGTTAGGGCCTTACCTTAACTAATCAAAATTCTAAATTCAGAGTTGCAAAAGACTTCACACATATAGACACACACAGATACATGGCTATTCTAAATAAGAACCAGTGTTCACAGCAGCATTATTATTCATTGTAATTACAGTAATTATTATAAATATTATTCATAAGTTAATTGCTACAATTACAATACTAAACACTAACATTCAAAGACAACTATAAATACCAAGTCACAGTGGCAAGAAGTATTCAAGGATCTAGGTAGCTTTAAAAAATTAAAGTAGAATCCAATGCAGGACTAATAAGAAATGAGACTGGAGATGCAGGCAGGGGTCAAGTCACAAAAGCCTAGAACCTTAGATTTCTACCCTATTATGTCATGCTTCTCAAAGTGAGGTCTGAATACTCCATGGTAATACAGGATATGGAAAATCATAGGATAAACATCTTCTGTAAGTGTCAAGTTTATGAAAAAAAATTTAGAGGCGAGTTTAAAAAGTTTGTCACTGTTTATAAATTAAATCCAATTTTACTGGAACATAAAATTCATATGAATTTTCCAGACAGAACATGAAGACAATTCACTCTCCAAACAATCTGTCCTGCAGTAAGCTAACACAGGTTCGCTACAGCCTAAAATTTGAGGAAAAGAGACAAATGAGGGATAATTTGAGGAAAAGTCTGAGAAGCAGTGTTGGGAACATGGAGCCAAAGGTTTTTGTTTGTTTTTGCTTTTGTTTTGTTTTAAGCAGAAGTGACATGATCAGATTTGAAGCTCTCTCAGGGAAGCAGTAAGCAGGATGGGCTAAAACATAAGACACAGGAAAATAATGAGGGTAGGTGACAAAGAGAAAAGTTGTAATAGTCTGTGCAAGCGATGGAAAGGATATGAACCAGAATTGAGGCTACGAGAAAGCTGGGCTGGGAGGATTCCAGAAAGCATACCATGCCGACCAGACAGCACCTGACTGACAGCACAGTAACGATTCAATGAGACAGCTTTTGAGAGCTTATTAGTATGAAAGTCTTTGGGGTTTTTTTAGAGCTAGTATTATTACTACAGTACGTTATTTGATATTTGTATCCTTAAAAGCTCCCACTTAAAAAATGACACTCTCAGTGTGTCTTCTAATCATAGGAAGTGTAAAGCTATTATATATTTGTGATACCAAAAGTTAAACAAAGTTGAGTAAAATTTATGCAAACTATGCTTAATAAAGAAAATATCCATGCTTTCAAAATGTTAAGAAAAAATTATTGGGTTCCTACTGATTAATTACCAACATAGCTTTTCTAGAAACATAACTATACAGTTTGAGAATCAGAGTTAGGAATGACCTTGACCTTTAATGTGATATTCCAGAATAAATGAATGAATAAACATAGA